TTAGGTTTTCTGTCTGCTACCACCAAAGCACACACAAGATGGTGATTAGGTTAATAGTTATAGTACTTTACATAAATGATCTCTACATTTTAGGGAAGTAATAATAATATATGGAAAATATGAAAAAAGGAAAAATAAAAATGTCATTTTATAGAAATTTAATGAGAAGTTTTGGACACCGTGTGTGAAAAAGGACCATAAACGCAATGTTGACAAAACTCAAGGATTGAACATTTCCATTTTTTTAACATGTACTCAAAGTGCCTATTATGCCGCATATACAATATTGACCATATATGTAATTTTTTTCAAGAAAAAACATCACTAAACTCTCTAGCTTTTGTACACGTTTAGTCATTTTCAGATTTTCCAACTATCATCAAATTACCGGTCGTCTTTTCCCGCTAACAGAATTCCAAAGAAAATAAATACCACCGTTTAAATGTTTGTTTTATAAAACACTAAAAAGCATGCAATCTAATACGTATCCCCTTCAATGACAAGACACCCACTCCTTCATTTTCTCATATTTTCGTACACAATTTACCATTAAACTAACTTTTGTACGCATGAATGTTTTCATCATTATTTGGTCAACCCAATCTCAAAGAATAAAGGTAACACCATCTTGTATGTTCATTTAAAAAAACACTACACAACGCTCAATCTCATCCTCATCCACTTCGGTGAAAACACCCCCACCCCTCTATTTACTATCACCAACATCATATGGGCATGACTCACACCTTTTTTTGCCCTTCATGATACTTTTGGAAAACCTCTCTCTCAACCCCTTTATTCTTAAAGCACATACTAACAGTAGCTACTTGCGTTCAATATTTTAGATTAGTTTCATGATGGTGGTGATTGTCCACCATCCACATCCACTAACAAAAATCACTTTTTATCACCACCATTCGCCACCTCAACCGACCAAACACCACTGTGGGAGTAGATGATGTTGCCCGAAGATGATATATATATATATATATATATATATATATATTATATATATATATATATATTATATATATTAATGGTAAATCATATACAAATTAAAACAATATCATGCAATATCCTATAAAAAATGATTTAATATGTATTTTCTTTTTTCTTTTTATATTGAATTGTGAAAGGTCTACTAATCACATTGTACTGTAATTTCATATTTTTTGTTGGGTGATTAAATTTTGAAATATTGTTAATATTGGTTACATTTTCAAAATACAAAAAATTGACAAAAAGTATGATTATAATTATAATAATTATGTTATTACCTTTTACACTTAATCAATCGTACATAATATCCGGAACATCATCAGGATGATTGCATATGTTTTACTTTTATAGATATTTTTGAAATGAGAAATTAAATATCCTCTTACTTTTTGTTCCTATATATCATTCTATCCAATAAAATGGTGACATGTGTAACATTTAATGCTCATTTAATGAAATTTAATGATATTTTTAGATACTAATATGACACATGTCATCATTTAAATGGGTAGGAGGATTGATAGGAACAAAATGTTTGAGGATATTTAATTTCTCTTTTGAAATTATCAAACTGTCCTAGTATTCATCCTCCAACTCTGATTTGCTCTATATTTTTTAGGGATTTTATAACATGTGCATTGATTGAAGTATTAATTATGATTAATATTACCATAATTATATTATAAACATTAATTATAAATAAGGAAAATGATTTGTACACAACAGTTTCTTGTCATACACAACAATTCATGCATTATGTAGTTGTACAATACAACATTTTAAAACACCAATTGTTGTGTATGGAGAAAATTTGTTGTGTACGGATCAGCTCCCTATAAATAATATTCTTTATAATTAATATACTTTACATTTAATTATGGTAATATTATACATAATTAATGTTTATCACATTTAATTATGGTAATCTTTCTTAAAATTAATATTTCTATTAATGATTCTTATATGTTCAACAAGTCACATATTAGAAAATCCATATTTTTTATGCAAGGTTAATTACAACTGTATATATTTTTAGAAAGTAAAATTTATCGAAAAAAAGTTGATAGGATTAATTAATTCGTCGTATTGAAACCGCTTGCCCAATTATAAATTAATATTCCATTTTCATTAAAATAAATCAATGTACACAGGGAAGAAAATGTTACGCCATGCTCAATATAGACAACTTGTAGCACTAAAGTTGATCTTAGTTCATGCCAAATTCAGAATTACTATTGCCTTTTAAAAAAAATTGTTCTCTTTAGGTATTCAAAACTTCCTTTTCTAGCCGGTAGTCTATATGAATATATCGAAATTATGAATATGATTTGAAGATGTATTATAGGTCGCGTTAGCCTGATGTAGATCAAACATTTCATCGTGCTCCACAATATGACATCTGTAGGGTAACCCATATTTATGTTTTTGTTGTCATGACTTCAATGATCTGGCAAATTACCCAAATGAGACATATGTTACATACATGGCGATGAATATGCTTTGATTATGAACTATATATGACGATGATGCATTGATCGACGAGGGAGGTTACTGCAACTCTAAATAAAGTATAATTAAAGAGTGTTCATTCCATATACGGTATGTGCACTTTTATTGTTTTGTTTGAATCCCCTGGAGAAATAGTTGGATGGCTTATTTAGTTATTTTAATGAAAAAGAAAAAATAATTAAGGTGTAACCCGTCCTAGATATTACTCTCTCTCTCTCTCATAGTATAATATAATGTGTACCTAACATTAGACCATCTACGATACATACCACAAATCCATTCGTGGTGTACATGGCTACTAACCACGAACGTAAACACCATCCCAAATGTTTGTGGCGGCTAATGATGGTACATTTTGGTGGTCAATTGTGCTAGAGAGCACTAATCATCATACTAAATCATCTTCCTTCTCTCTATTTTTCTCTATTTCTCTCTACCTCTCTCTACATTTTAATTTATATATATTGATGATATATGATCCATTAGCATGGCGTAGACTACTCTAGCGTGCCAGCCCTGCCTGGTGCGCTCCCGCCAGCCTCGCTGGGGACTCCCTTGCCAGCCTTGTTGGGGACTCCCCCGTCGGCCCAGCCTGACGCTCCCTGGCCAGGCTCTTCTTTGTCAGCCTTGCTGGGGACCCCCTTGCCAGCCTCACTGGGGATTCTCCTGGTGCTCCCTTACCAGCCTTTCCTGGTGCGCGCCCGCCAGCCTTGCCTAGTGCGCGCTTGCCAGCCCCGCCCGGCGCCTCCGGGCAGCCTCGCCCAGCTCCTTGCTCGCTGGGCCTGAATTGGGCTGGCCCAAGGCCTGACCTAATTCCCCTTGACTTAATTGTCCCCTATATAATGAATAGTATCTCCACCATGGAGAGGGATCCTTCCCTTTGGCTCAGCCGCCACCCTAAACTCCAGCCGGGTGGCTCAGCCGCCACCCTCCGCCGTCACTCCGCCGTCAACCACCATACACCACCGGCACCAAGATGGTTCTCTCTAGCTAAAGAGAACCGTCTCAGATCTTCCAGATGATCTAACTTGACCGTCGGAGTCCGCTCCCGGGGGACAGTCCCTGGGGCGGCTCTAACGGCCTTGTCTGTTGTGACCTCGCAGATCCGTCTCCGGCGTAGAAGCATCTTCTCAGAGCAGGTGGTCGGAGCCGATGTCGCATCATTTGGCGCCATCCGTGGGACTTGAACCCACGGATGAGGTGATGAGGTGGCACCCACCACTATAATGGTTAGTTGTGAGTATATAGATATTGATACCTAAACCATAATCTTTGGTGGTTAGGCGGATGTAGTTTCATATAAGATCATCCGTTATACCCACAACTAACCATTATAGTTGTTAGTGTCACATCATCACCACTCTCTACCACTAATCATGTGATAGATACCACTAAATACATCACTCCACCTCATTTTTTTTAATTAAATTTAATTTAAAAGTACAATAAAACATATATTTTTTTAAACTAGTTTCTTATTCGATTAAAAGACCATTACATTAATTTAAAACAAACAACTTAAAATAAAATTAAAAAAAACATAAAAATACAACCACAAGCAACTTAAATTAGTTTTTTAAACCTTACTTTTTTTAATGATTGAATTTTGGGCACTCCTTCAATTTTAGCCAATATTTGAGGTGTGTAAATAGTTGGTGGTTTGTATCTTCATATTGATGCATGACCACAACAACCGACTCGCCTTTGTGTACGTTGTTTATAACAAAGTTATAAATTCCATTAAACTCAAGGCATTTAACCCTCATATCGCGAAACTTCGAATATATTTGATCAAGACTACGACTTCGGCAACCCATTAAATCATGGAAAACGTTTCAACTTTTACCCAAAAAATCACCATGCATTCGAGTATATGGTTCTTCTGAAACCGTCTTTCATGTTAGTGTTAAGTTCTCCTCTTCCTTTTTTGACCAATTCATAATTTTGGGAGTCATTGGTTGTGAAAGTTGTTGTGTGTATATTGTGTATTGAGAAAGAAAAGAAATAAGGATGTATTGAGAAGGTTTATAGTGGTATTTATAGATAAATATTAGGTAAAAAAGTAATAAAATTCAAACTAGCCGTTAGGGAGGTAAATGGAGGTCAAAGAAGCCAAACAATTACATTGGCCGTTGGAGATCGTTGTGGGCAACACGGATTGCCACGACCGCGACCCACGACGACACACCGCTACTGTGTGCACGATTGTGGTTCGTGGCCACCTAGACCACGAGCTCATTGGTCTTATGTATACCAGAAGGTCTAAATAACATAGGATAGGTACTAGCAGTAAAACAATATCTCACATACTCATTTTGATTTCTTCATATATAAAAAACATCAGACAGATACTTCCACGTTTGAGTTAACTCACAAGAGAAATGACACAAAGAGCGAGCGAGGGGAATGAGCTTTATTTAATTAATAGGCCCTATTGTAGGCACTACATAATTTTAACTAGACATTCAACATGAAACCATGCATACTCAAATTTATTTCTTTTCATCTGGCTTAGTGCATGCTTTCGCTTCAGTCTTTTCATAGTCTGGCAGAGGAATTTGCCCATCCTCGATAGCATTCAGGTCATCAACCAACCTTTTGTAATGAATCTTGACTTCTTCTACAGTCTTGCCAGTGATCTTTGCGATATTTTGCCATCGGTCAGGGGTGTCCTTGTCATACTTAGCAAGCGCATTTTCAAATAGCTTGTTTTCTGCCCAAGTCCAGACGTTAGAACTTGAAGCCATTAATCCAGAAAAGAAATACAGAGAAACACACTATATAAGAGAAAAGATGTTGAAACTGATGTACGAAAAGAAGTGCATTTTCTTTCTCTATTTATACAAGAACTGAGAGTTCGAGAGGGCCAGGTGATGAGTGTTTGGTTCACACCAAAAGCATTTCATGTTCAGTGTCATTCAAAAGCCTCATGTAAGACAGTGTTGGACTTTTCTGAAACTCAAAAGAAAAGTCCTAGTAACTTGCTATATATCCGGGGAAAGAAACAGGTTTTAAGTGGGTGAGAGTATAACCTCGTGCCAAGATTGTCTTTATGCGAGAGAAGGTGTTCCCCCAACATGACGTGTGAAGAACCAATAGTTATGTGTATAATACAGATATTTTAGTATGTGCGAGTATTGGTGAAATATTTGTGTGAATGTGTGCTATTTTGAATGTAACGTAAAACCATCTGGCGTTTATCAGGTGGGCTCCAAACTCCTATTTGGCCAAAAAAAGGGTGAATCAGTCCTAGCAGTGGCTTTAATTTGCCACATAGTCACGGGTATAAGACTTTTATTTATTTTGGTCTCATATTTTTATAATATACTGTTACATAAATAGAGTGTTTAACTGTTTATCAGATACTAGGTGTAATACCCATGTATTACATGGGTTCATTTTAAAGAAAAAAATATGAAATTCTAAGCATTTGAGAAGTTTGAATTTATAAGAAAAAATAAAAAAATATTGAATTATTAAAATTAAATTGTTTGTTTTTTCTTTTAAATTAAACAAATAATTTAGATAAATAAATAAAGGAAACTAATAAGAACTTTAATTTAGAAAATTTAAAATTAGAAGTAAGTCAATTAATGAAATTGATATGCATTTATTATTACATTTATTGCAATTATTACATTTAAATATTATATAAAAATTAATAAAAAGAAAACAACCACAAAATGCTATGTGGAAAAAAAATTAATTGAAAATAAACCACAAAATGACATAGGACTAAATCAATGAGAATGTGACATGTGGCAAAAAGTTTTTTATTTATTAAGAAGGATTTAAAATTAATTTACAAGTATACAATATATAAAAGTCTTATGAATCATAGTAAATGCTACCACGTTGTTTTATAATTCTTCTTAATGAACAGAAAAAAAATGAAACACAATTTGTTATGTTTTTTTTTTATCTTAGCTTATGTCAAGCATTTTCATTTCTGCCCTCTTTTCTTATTTTTGGCTTTTTGTCAAGACATTTTAGTGGCGAGTCTAGAATAGAAATCTATGTGGTTCTCTAACTAGGATTGGTTAAAAAAAACTAGGTTTAATTGGACCGGTTCAACTAGAAAAATAACCGATTCAACATGTATAAAATCTAGTGATGACAGGACCAAGACCAAGCCCATCATTCAAAAATCTTGTTTTTTACTCAAATCAATTTAAATTTAGAATAAAGCTGAATTTATTTAACGGATACATATATTTGTTTATAAATGTGTAAGTTAAATATATATAACTTTCCTTTAAATGACATGGTAGGTAAGCTAAGTACCTATACATATATAAAAACATATATATGTAAGCCAATTATTACTCACGAATAGTCATTAATCAAATATGTGAGTAAAGGTTTTCTTTTTTTTTTGATTTGTTTTAAAGGAAAAATGATATGGATATTTAAAAGTAAAACAATAAAAATAATAATAATAATAACAAGATAAGTATAGAATTACGATCCGAAAACTACAAAAGTCAATAAACAAGATATATATATTATATATATATATATATATTATATATATATATATATATATATATATATATATCTATATATATATATATATTCATTTTTATTATATAGAATAATTATCAATAAAAGACATGATTGGTATACCTTTTTTTTGCACAACTTGGTATAGCTTTTTTTTCGTCCATTCTACTAATTAACGGATTTGGGAACAAAAGTGGCAAAAGCCCATTCCTTCTAAATGATTTGTAACCTAGTTGTCTCTCTTTAGTTTAATAGCTCGCGTTTCAAAAGCTTCAAGATGTGTGTTTCACCAATTGATTTCTTTCTTTTTCTTTTCCACCCAAAACCTCTTCATCTCTCTTTTCCTTCTTCTTTTTTTAAAGGTAGGTTCTTCAAAAATTTCAAGATAGTTCCTAAATATTTTGGTATATAATTTCTAGTATTATTGATAAAACTAGGTGGTTGATATGACCCACATTGGCCATACATATACTCGCCCATGAACTATTTTATTATGGCGGTACACTACTAGAGAAACATTTATATAATATTGTTGTTTTTTCTAAATAGAATACCTATTGTATAAGGGGAGTATTAGATTTGAACACATAATCAAGTACCGTTAAACAAACCACACTTTATTCGATAGTATTTAATATTTTACTTTCTGAAACGTATTCTATTTCACTATATATGGTCTGAAACAACCTATTTTCACATACAACAACAATAAACAAATTAACCAACAAAACCACGAAAATACATTGTTAACGAGGGATCCATATAGCATTAATGGCGAAACAAGATAAAAATAACAGAAAAACCAGTGAAAGTACATTGCTATAAATATAATATGGGGAGCTAGAAGTCTAACAACATAAGTAGCACATCCTTTTTATGCAAGTTCAAGACATCTTAATAGATATTTTCCTGTAAAAGTGGAACGTAAAGCGTATAACTTGACATAAGGAATAGAATTAATGGTATTACACCAATGATTCAAGGAGTCACAACATAGAATTTATTAGTTTCAATAGAAGCCAATAAAAACTCGTTTGGGCATGCAATATTTCCTTAAAATTATTAAATAAATAAGATAAGGAAGTCTAAAGAATCTAGATTCTAACTTAGGTCTAATAATTATAATTAGTGTATCGAAGAACCATCATCACCGCAATAGATCTTTGTGCATTTTGAGAGTATAATCTCATTCTGTTTTTTCTTTTTTTTTCTTCATGAAGAGCACTCAACATCTTTCGGTCATGAGAAGAATACAAAAGAGATCATATCTACATGTATAAATCCATACATAAATTAATAGAGATCATAAAATCCATAAATAAAAATATATGATTATTAAAATAAATGTGAACAAGGCTTTAAGATTTAGTTTTTCAATATTTTTAATTAGAACTCATAATTATCACAAGATTTAAACCATGAGTCATATTTAATTAAAATATATTATTTCAATTCTAACATAACCAGGTGATAAGTAATCTTGAGAACTTGGATATCAATTTCATATGATCAACTCAACAATCCAATTAATTAATGGAAATGCATACACTCAATGATATCAAGATGAGTTTACCTTTATTATTTTATGATGTTGAAGCAAACCACTGAAAATATCTAAATTCAAAATCAAATCACAACTAGAAGTAAGATACACAGTTTTGTTTTTACCATTTTGACATAATCAGAACCTCCACTAAAATAATCATTATTGCTTCATAAAATCGATATTCATGTCACAAATTCCATCAAAATTCCATAATCAATAATTACAACAACAAACCAAGGAAAGTACGTTGTTATTATTTAATGACCATGTAAAATACTCTATGTGATATCTAGTAGTAAGTTCTTCAAAACAACAATCTTTAAAACCTTTATACATCTGGTTCTTAGGTGGAAAAAAGTTAAAAGTGATTTGTCAAAAAAGGGAGTAATAATAGCAAAAATAAACAAATCAATGAAAGCATATTGCTATAAATGTATTATAGGGAGTTAGGAGTCTATCAATGTACGTATCACATAGCAGAGTCCATTTATCTCTTCATGAAAACTATCATTAAAGGGAAGAAATAATAACTTCATTAATGAATCAATATAACAATAACTATCCATCAAAATACGATCCATATAGAAACATCTAAAAAAAGACTTACTAAGTTAATGAAGACAGATCTTCTGGCATATAAACCATACAAATTCCATAAAATGTAATTCCTTTCCTATTGTCTTAGGTACTATGTTGATGATCTATGGCAAATCCTTTTTATGCAAGTTCACAACATCTTAATGGATATTTTCTTGTAAAACTGGAACGTAAATCGTATAAGTTGACATAAGGAATTAAATTAATAGTATTCCAGCAAAGATTCAAGGAGCACAACATAAAATTTAACATTTCAATTGAAGAAAATAAAAAAATCACTTGGGAATGCATCATTTCTATAAATTCTTAAATAAAAAAGACAAAGTAACATTAATAAATTTATATTCCAACTTAGGTTTAATAATTATATTTAAGGTATAGAAGAACCATTATCATTTCAATGGATCCTTGTGCATTTTGAGAGTACAATCTCAATATGTTTTTTTTTCTTCATTAAAGAGCACTCAACATCTTGCGATCATGAGAAAATTATAAAAGAAATCATAACGACATGAAGTATAATTCCGTAAATAAATTAATAAAGATTATAAACTACATAAACACAAATATATTATTATAAAATAAATATGAGCAAGGATTTTAAGAGATAGTTTTTCTATATTTCTAATTAGAACTCATTATTATCACGACGTTTAAACCATGATACACATCAAATTAAAATTTATTATTTCAGTTCTAACCTAAACAGGTGATAAGTAATTTTGAAAACATAAATATAAATTTCATACAACGATCCAACAATCAATGTAAATACATACACTCAACGATATCAAGATGAGTTTACCTATATTATTTTATGATGTTGAGGCAAACCACATAAGATCTCTAAATTCAAGATCAAATCGTAGCTACAAAGTTTTGTTTTTTCCATTTAACATGATCAGAAGTGATTTATCAAAAAAAGTTGTTATAAAAACATAAATAAACAAATTAATGAAAGTACATAGCTATAAATGTATTATAGGGAGTCAGGAGTCTAGCAACATAAGTATCACATAGTAGAGTCCATTCATCCCTATGTGCAAACTATCATTAAAGTGAAGAAATAATCGCTTCATTAATTCATCAATATAACAATAA